AACATGGTTATAATGTAAGAACGGTCTCTCAGCTTTGCCTTGGGAGGCTCTCAAACATCACTTTATATTGGAAAGGATGGAGTTTCCAAGGTTTTCTTAGTACAAGAACTTTTTATTAAATTAAATGAACTAATTTAGTATTTAGATAGGATCCTACTGTGTCAACACTCTCTTGCCTCAGCTGGGACTAGAAGTGTGTATCCCCACATTCTGCTTATTTTTAAGTTTCCTCCCTGTCTCTGTCCCTCCTTTCCTTTTATCTTTCTTTCCTGAACAGGGTCTCATCACACCACAGTCATTCTCCCTATCCCTGCCCAGCCCTCTGACCAGCCAGGATTTGGGACAAGGCCAGGTTGACCTGGGACTTGAACTCTGAGAATTCCCATAAGGCTACAATATCGTGCAGTGGCACCTTACCATTTGTATCACTGTGGCTGGACCTTTTTAAAAAAAAAAAAAAAATTTAAATACAATAAAGCAAGGAGATTTAAGCAACTCACAACAATGTTATACACTGTAGCTGCTCCTATAGAAAATATAATTTATAAGACAGTAAAGCAAAATATGCAACAAAATATTTAGAAAGAAAACCAATGACTTGAAGAGTACTCTAGAACTAAAATTAGTTAATGCATTTGCAGTCAACTGAAACAACTAGGTTGAAATAAGGACTTCCTTGGGGCTGGTAGGTGGCATGGTGGTTGATGTGCTGGGCTCCCACATGACTGACTGTGGTCAGAATCCTAGACTGGGTGGTTTGCTTTCTCACTCCCCACCCGCTCCGGTCAAATAAAAAAAATAAATAAATAAAATTAAGAAAGTCTTGGGACCAACAGTTAGCATAGTGGCTATGTCCCTGGACTCCCATGTAGTTGACCGCGGTTTGAATCCCAGACCCGGTGGCTTAAACTCACGCTGTGCGTGTATGTGCATGCCCAAGATCCTAAGAGGAGAATGGAGGAGAAGGGATTGCGGCGTGGCCATCCCCCCGAGGGGTGATTTCTCACTTTCTTTCTCTTCGTCTTTCTGGCAAGCATAGGCGCCCTATAGCAAAAACCTCTAAAAAAAAAATTAAGAAAATCTTTTAAGGAATAGGAAGATTCTTTAATAGATCATACTCATTTTAGCAAGTATGATAAAATATGGGTTATTTACATAATAGAAAATGCTTAATATACATTATTTGAATTAGTAATTATATTAAGATGCTGGTGCTATTTTAAACTATTTTTTTACATATTTCAGGAGATTATTTTCTTAAAATCTCTATTTTATAGATTTTATTTACTTATGTGTTTTATGTGCTTCTTGAAATTAATATATGTTAGTAAGAAAATTACTTTAGGGCCAGCAGCTGGATCTGGTGACTTGCTTTTCCACTTTCTTTAAAATTACTTTAGGGCCAGCAGCTGGATCTGGCGACTTGCTTTTCCACTTTCTTATATCTGTCTTTCCAGTGAATGCACATGCCCTAAAGCAAATTTAAAAATTACAATAATAATAAATAAAATGGAAAAATTTCAAAAAATTACTTTAATAAATGTTAGCATTCTTGAATGCAATGTTAATACTAAGATTTTGATAGAAATCAGCCCAGATAAATCAATTTTAAAGCTGGAAATAGGTTGTACCATAAATTTTTATATATGACTTTGAAAATCAATGTTATTTTGTTAATTGTACTCTTTTTTTTTTTTGAGACATTTTTGGTATTTTTTAGAGACATTTTTGGTATAGGGCATGTGTGCTTCCTGGAGAGACAGAAAGAGACAGAGAGACAGAAAGTGAGAATTCACCCCTCTCCCCAGGGGATGGCCACATCGAATCCCTTCGCCTCCACTCTCCTCTTGGGATTTGGGCATGCATGCACATGTGTCCGGTGCGACTTTCAAGCCACTGGGTCCAGTGACATAACTTGAACTGCAATTGACTATGTGGGAATCCAGTGATAGAACCGTTACATCATCTGCTTGTCCTCAAGCCTATAATTCTTTCTTTAAAAAAGTTTATTTCTAGGGCCAGCAGGTGGTGTGGTAAAGGTGCTGGATCCTACATGGCCAGCTTCATAATTCAAATCTTGAACCTGACAACTTGAAAAAAAAAACAAAAAAACACTCTGGGTGGTCACAGTATGTTCATGACCCAAATCCTAAGTGGAAAATGGAGAAGAGATTGCAGCATGGTCACCCCCCCTTGAGGGGTAATTTCTCATTTTCCCTCTCTCCGTCTCTTTGGTAGCACATGAGTACTATGGCAAAAATCTTTAAAAAAAAAAAAAAAAAAAGGAAAATAAAAAAGTTCATTTCTTCCATGAGAGAGAAAGAGAGTCAGTACTCCATGAGGGTCTAGCTGTGATCTCTGCCTGGCCTCAACCTACTCTGGATCAGGGCATGCATGTGCCTGGGGTATCCCAGGAGGTCTCCGGACACGAACCCGGAACTTTTCCATGTGAGTCAGTCTTGCAGAGTGCTATGTTGCACATGTGCCACCATTGGTCCTGACAATGAAATCTCTTCCAACTTACGGTGTGTTGTATAATGCTCAGCTGGATTACTCTTTAGTTTTAAGTGAAGTACTTTAAAAATGTATATCTTACATGTATGTTTCATGGATTTAACAAAGACTTTATTACACAAATTTAAACATACAGAAAGGTAGAGCATAATATCATTAATGTTTGTATCAGTTGTCTATTGCTGCTATAACAAATGACCATAACAATGTAGTGACTTAAAATAATACAAATTTGTTACCTTACAGTTTTGTAAGTCAGGAGTCCACATGGGTCTCACTGGGCTACAACTAAGGCAACACAATGGAGTGATGGCAGGACTCCTGCTGGCTCTATGAGAGATTGGATGCTCCATCTTTTGCAGCTTTGAGGGGCCACTTGTTGTATTCTTGGCTTGTAGCCTCTTCCCTCACCTTCCAAGTCAGCAAGAGCAGGTGGGAGAGTCCTCATCAGGATGCAGCTCTCTGACCTTCCTGCCGCACCTCCCTCCAACTCTGACAAGGCTGAGAAAGGCTTTCAACTTGAAAGGACTCAAGTCCATTGGGATAATCCAGGATCCTCTCTCCATGGGAACCTTCATCATATCTGCAAACTGCTTCTTGTCATGTAAGGCAACGTATCCACAAATGCGGAGATTAGAATGTGGCCATTCGTGTGGGCCTGAGACTTCTCCTCCCACAATGCCCACATACCCATATCCCTGCTTCAACATTAAACATTTTGCCAATATTGTTTCTCTTCTTCTATTCCACTTTTTTTCCCCCAGAAACAACAAAAAATTCTCAGAAATTTGTTAATTAGTCTGAATTAAATTAAATCCAAGAAATCATATAATTTGCTTATAAATACTAATATGTTCTCTGACAGGGACCTTTAAAAATAACTATAATAGTGTTATCAGAGTAAAATTACCAATAACTTAAAATTTTTCTTTATTTGTAATAGAGTGCATGTGCTCACACATGAGAAAGAGAGAGAGAGAGAGAGGAGAGAGATGAGCACCTTCCACGGGGCTGGTCATGCTGTGATCTCCCTCCTCCAGTCTCCTAGCCCATTAGAGCCTAGGAACTTACACCTGTGCCTGGAGTGTTTCAGGCTGACCTGGCCAGGGACTGAAGCCATGCAGGACTCACTTCTTGGGAGCAGCGCATCACTGGCCTTACCGATAATTATATATATTTTTAATTAAAAATATTTTAAAATTTGCTACAGGTTGTATGAGTTTGCTGGAGACAGAGAGAGAAAAAGGGAGCGAGTGAGAAAGCACCCCTGTGGGGGGTGGCCATGCCACAATCCCTTCTCCTCTATTTCTCCTTTTGGGATTTGGGCACACACACGTGCCTGGTGTGTTTTGCAAGTCAAGTCCGAGACTCAAACCACTTAGACTCAAACTACTTAGTGTGGGATCCAGCTGCCTTAACTCCCCTACTGCCTTAACTCCACTGGCTGGCCCCTACCAGTGATTCTTTAATGTCATCTAACTTTCAGTCCACGTTGGTTTCTCACTCTTCAAAAATGGCTCAATTTTTATTGTTTTATTTTTATAAAGCTAGTGAGTTCTAGTCAGGACCCAAACAAATCTACCAGGCATTTGGCAAACGTGTCTCCCAGGTCTCCTTCATAACAGTCTTCCTTCCTCCCATCTTTTTTTTTTTTTTTTGCCATTTATTTTTGAATGAAGAAAGGAAGGCATTAGTCTGTAGAACTTCCCACATTCTAAACTATGTAGATCGCTTCCTGGGGGTATAATACAATATGTTCATCCCCCCCCATTTCTTTAAGGCTGGAGTTTTAGGCTTCATTGGATTTATTTTCTTTGATTTGTTTTCTTCTTATTTTTCTTAGTCAGCAAGAACACATCAGAGGTGGTGGTGTGTATTCACTTTGCCATGGAATATGGAAGTGGGCTGTCTCCCTTTCAGGGATGTTGAAGCCCTTCACCTGGGCAGGTCTGAAAATAGCACAACGTTCTTAATTGTTAATAATAGTAACCATTTACTGATACCACACACCGGGCATTTCGTTGGTTCCTTTCTACACGATTCCTCACATCCACCCCAGTACATTATCCACACACACACATTTGCAAAACTACTAGAACTGGACGCCTGGAAGACTGGCTTACGACTCTGAGCGAGTTTACTTCTGGAATATGGGGTAACGATCCCAGCTTTGTACAGGCTTGTTTTGAGGCTTATTTAAGCGATGAATGTGAAAGCACTTTGAAAAGAACAGGCCTTACAACAGTAGTAATGACAGTTTAAAAAAAGAAAAAGAAAAAAGAAAGAAAACGCGTATTCAGTTATTCTGGCCATCATCTCATCTACTCATTGCACGTTTCTCCAAGGCACCTTGCGGGGACCGGGGGAGGAGAAAGACGAAAGGTCCAGCGGGGAAAGAACACCAAGCAGGTCAGGCCGCGGCCACCGCCAGGGAGTGAGAGAGCCGGGACCCCGCTGCAGCTGCCGGTCACGCTCACCCTGGGCGCGCGGGGCCGGGCGAGTCCACGCGGGCCGCCCCGCTGCGCCGCCTCTGCGGGCCCGCAACGCCGCCACCACTCTCCGGGCCGCGCTCGCTTCCCGCTGATGTTCGCGAAAGGCCCCTCTCTGCGACCTCCGCCCCGGCCAGCGACTTCCCAGGGCTTCCCGCGAAGCGACAGCATTGAGGACTCGGCGGACAGAAAAGTCTAGGAAGCACTTTAAGATGGCACAGGGGACCAGGAGGCTGGGGACGGCGCAGCCCAGGGTACGTTGCTGCTTTGATCGGAATCGCTTCAGCGGAGTTTCGCTCGGAGCCGCAGCTGGGGGTCCCCTCCTTGGGGGGGCTCAGGCCGCCGCGCCCTGTGC